AATTCTTAGAAAAATTCATAGCTTGGAAAATGGCAACCACATTTTTCCACGTCTATCTTTCTTTCTCCCTGATTTCCCAGGATTAAAATAGCCACGTTTGTCCCACCCAGTGCCAATGGCAGGTCTGGACCGGAGGCTCACGGTGTGTGTGTGTGTAGGGACTCTCCGTTTTAACTGGGTGTGAAAGTTTGTGTATGTAATGTGTGGAAATATGAACAATATATGTAAACATCCAAACTCCTGTAATCTTAGCTGTTCATACGTGGGCAAATATATTTATCAGCAATATCTGCGTTTGCATGTACACTGGAGTGTATGTTCCTTATGTAAATACACTTGCGCTTAAAGAAGTGGTATGTGTGTGTGTGCTACCCCAGGGTCACGACTATTGTTCTGCTGATTTGGCCTGTGGAGACTGGGGTGGGACAACTATATCCTGTCTCCACTTCCCTCTCTCTCTCTCTCTCTCTCTCTCTCTCTCTCAGTTCCCACAAAAGTCATGAATTTGAAATGACGGTTAGGAGAGTCTGATCACTTTGGAGAGGTACCTCAAGTCAATCTACAGGCACATTAAGACGCTCTTGTAACCACAGCCACGTCCAAGTGATCTGAGGGAGCGCGGCGCTTTGTGGCTGTGGTTACAAGAGGTAAAAACGATATAAATACTGTTCGTTTTCTCACACAAACCGCTCGTTTCGTGTCTTAGGCCATTTACGAGTCATTAAATCATGTTTAATTTGGACTTCTCTGTGCATGCTCTTTGAGGTGGTGACCATAGACCTCCATTATATGACTGACAGACAAGAACGGTTTGACCTAAAAACATCAAAATTGAAACTACTGGATGTTCTTGGATCTTGGCTGCCCTTAAATTAATTTCAAAGTGAACTATCCCATTAACCTCCTTAAAGTTGCCTTTTATTAAGCCAGGACACAACAGCACATTTATAATTTATACATGGTAAACAGTGCTGAGATTTTTACAGTTTTTTTGCTTGCTGATTGGAAGCATTATTAAAAATAGCGCATTTATTTAATAAGCAAGCACGCGAGGGACAGTGGATGTGTGAATGACGGCTGATGGAAAATCTCTGGAGCTTTCCGCGAGCGTGCAAACCCAATTATAACAACCGCACACTCTCTACAGCGTGTTGGTCTCTTGTCTTACCGTATACAGTAGATAGCGGCAGCGATGACGATGATGAGGAGCAGCATGCCCACGGCTATGAGGATCCCGGTAACAAGCAGCGGAGACGAGGAATCATCTTCTAGGGAAACAGAGAGAGGCAGACAGCCAAAGTGAGAGAGAGAGGGTTTAAAAACGATCTTCAATCAACAAAACATCAATAAAAGTTTGCCACTAATACTAAGCCGGACCCTTCCTTACCGTCAGGCAGGGTTCGAAAGACGATGGCTTGACCGAAGCTGCCGTAGCCGGCCAAAGTGCGCGCGCGGACCTGGACCTCGTACTGCGTGGCTCTGCGCAAGTCGCTCAGCACAACCTCGTTGACATTGCTCTCCGTATAATGACAGGAGTTCTCCTCGAAGCCACGCTCCTTTCAAAAGAACACACACCAATATCTTCCATTTAGCTGATTCCTCACGTACAGTTTCTGAGCTGTTTGAATATATTAATTGTTAATTAGTCTGGCAGGTTTGTAGTGCAAACAGTGAGCAGCTGTGGCACAGAGAGCGATCAATAAAACACAAGCGGTGAGAAAAATGGAGCAAGAGAAATAAAATTAGACTCGGTGGAAATGACAACAATACTGAATTACAGTGACATGTGGATTGTAAGCAATGCATACTTTTAAACTGAATGTAATGTTTTCAGACACTTAAATGCATTTTAATTGCAAATAAGTTAAAATGTACTATAGTTTAAGTTTGTTTTTGATTAAACGGGTGCTTTTTGCCTTACTTGGGGAGTGCATCCTTATATGTAATTTCATAATTACTTATATTGTCTTGTATTGAGAAGCATTTATGGTCAACTAAAATATTCTATAAAATGTAATTTTGATATGTCATGTGTTAAATTATACAATGCTATTATAAAATGCTTTTAAATGTAATAAATGTAAAACACACTACAGTTAAGATTATAAAAGTACTTTACATGTGCTTTAGTATGTTAGTTGGCACATCAAAACAAGACGTCATGAAAGTTTACTCTCTTTAAGTACACTTTAAGTGGCCTTTTATTTCATTTATCTGCAAGTAAACAAAAATGTAATATATATTTTAAAGATTTGAATTGAACTACTATTAAGTGTACTTATGTCATTTAGAAAGAACAGTATAGAACTTAATATAATTTAGTAGGGCTGTCAAACGATTAATCGCGATTAATCGCATCCAAAATAAATGTTTGTGTTTATGTAATATATGTGGGTGCACTGTGTATAATTATTTTGTATATATAAATACACACACATGCATGAATATATTTAAGAAATATTTTCATGTATATAAATATTTTATATATAAATAATATTTTTTTTCTTAAATATACATGCATGTGTGTGTATTTATATATATACAAAATAATTATACACAGTGCACCCACATATATTATGTAAACACAAACTTTTATTTTGGATGCGATTAATCGCGATTAATCGTTTGACAGCCCTATAATTTAGTATAGAACAGTACAGTTATCTATAGTGTAGAATAGTGTAGCGTTGTTTAGAATTCTATAGTGTTCTTTTTTTGAAGTAGAGGCCGACCGATTCACCGGTTTTGCCGATTAATCGGCACCGATAGTTGAGTGGTGGAATTATCGGTTATCGGCATGTACGGTCAAACCTAAATATCGGTATTGGTAAAATCCACTATCGGTTGACCTCTATTTAAAAATAGAACACTATAGAATTCTAAAAAACACTACAATATTCTCTATCTAAATTTTAGGGCTGTCAAACGATTAATCGCGATTAATCGCATCCAAAATAAAAGTTTGTGTTTGCATAATAAATGTGGGTGCACTGTGTTTATTTATTTTATATTATAAATTGTTGAAGTGTTGTGTAATATATGAATAATGAAGAGTCATATAGCATAGTGTAGTGTAGTGTAGTTTACCTTCTCACAGTAGCGTAGTTGATACTGTAGGATCCTGTAGTGTGATTGTGTCGGTGTGTTCCAGAGCAGCGTCAGACTGGATTCTGTGGCTGTGCTCTTCCTCAAACCCGACACCAGTACAGGAACTGCTCAACACACACATATACATGAGCAATGAAAACTCGGGAACTTTCGGTACCTCACGATTCGATATGTGCAATTTGATTGTAGTTGACTGTTTTGTGTTACTTTTCTTATTTGACTGCGGTAGACATTTTAATAGGTCTAGAAGAAAAGAAAATCCTATCCTATATATTTTTATAAATATATATTAAAACTAGGAGCAAATTACATCAATAGGACAAATATCATAGAAAAACATAAAAATCAAATAAAGGTACAGTAGCATAGGTTTATTAAACATGTAATACGAAATACTGACGAAATCAAATGTAAAAACGAAACAATGTTTAGTCTTAACTGTATGAATCAAATATAAATTGATTTATAATAAGGATAAAAAAGTGTTTCAGTCAAAAGCAGTGAGTGTTTTTTATTAACATGGATGGCTACAGTTTATGAGGCGACTGTCCCTTTAAGAAAGAATGCACGGATATAGTTACAAATCCAATTATCTCCCATTTGTTTTCGTTCGCGTAGGACTTAACAGACTCTGTTTACATTGAAAACTCCAAAGTCCACACGAAGTGCATTTTGACAAATGTGTGTGTAGCTGTGAAAGAGAACTAAATAAGAGATCGAAAGCATGCAAGATGTCGGCTGCGAGTCCTTATTCGCGACTTATTGTGATTAAGTCAGAAACTTTAGGTAATTTTAAGTAGTACTGCGAAGTTAAAGGAGTATAACTTCTGTGAAATTAAATTTGTGAATCGATTCAAATCGGTAGAAGATTCATTGACGTATAACAGGCTTCATTAAATTCAATGGAATTTAATTTAAATAGTCACCCGGTGGCTATTTCTGGTATTACGCCTAAACAAAATCTCATGGGAATTTCAAATTTTTGTGATATCAACTTCAAATTTGGAACACAACTTGGTTAAATATATGATTTTGACTTTCAGGCAGACTCATCACGGAGACTCACTAGTAGCCTAGACTTGTTGTTTAACTACTGTGCTCTGTCACCGGTAGGCGTGGCCTCCTAGGGCAGCGAAGCAAGTGCATTCTGGGAGTTGTTGTCTTTCATCCACATAAGCCAAAAATACATTTTCTGGCTTTTCTCAGTCTAGAAAGCTCCAAATTCAAAAATAATTTCACATTTCTTCAACATAAATGACCCATTTTAAATACACATTCATCTTTCCAGAGGTGAAGTATCCCTTTAAGGGGTTCATATGAGGTGCAGTGTCTCACCGTTGGGGCTGGTGGTGATGTTGATGATTTCCCCCGCGGGCCCCGGTACACTCAGAGCCGAGACCCCGTTTAAGGCCATCACGGTGAAGCTGTAGGTGGTGTGAGGTCGGAGTCCCCAAATGCTCACGCGTCGGCCCTGGATCCCAGTCTGAGAGGGCCGATAATTCACACCGTCCCCGCACAACACACACGGGCTCCTGGGGGTCGGACACATCCGACACTCCACGCTGTAGGTGAGGTCCGATCGGCCCCCGCTGTCCAACGGCTCGCTCCACTCCAGCGTGAGAGACGTGTCATTGACCTGAGGAACAGGGCTGCGTGGGGACGAGGGCGGACCTGACCACACGACAACAAACACAGGCCGTTTCAATCACAGCTAAAGCTCACAAATGTCTGCAATTCCCAGAATGCAACACAAAAGGCACAATAGCTGTTTCCATCCAAAGTTACGAACTTTGGATTATCGTTTGCGAATAAAGCACCGTTTTCACTCCATGTGCTCAAGATAACAAAATCACTACATCCTGGTGTAAAATATATGTAACAAAAATGGATGTTACTGCAATAGGGGAAGCGCACAGACGAATCGCATTAAAGGAGTAGTTCACTTTTAAAAAAACTTTTGCTGATAAACGATCGGTCATTTAAAAAGTAAATAGAAAAGTTTAAGTTTTATAAGCACAAATGCTCGCCTTGTCTGTTCGTGACTCTCCTGTTTAAACTCGTTCATCAAAATGAACGAATCTTTGTGAGTCATTTGGTTGATTCAACGAACAAAATGACTCGAAAAAAGATTCATTCATTTTGATGAACAAGTTCGAACAGGAGAGTCACGAACGCGCATCACAGAACAGACAAGGCGAGCATTTGTGCTTATAAAACGTAAACTTTTTTATTTATTTTTTTAAATGAGCGATCGTTTCGCTAGATAAGACCCTTATTCATTGTCTGGTGTCGTTTAAAGCCCTTTGAAGCAAAGTCTTTTTGTTGCACATCAAGGGATTTGTTCGGTAAATGTGTTTCCATCATAGTTTATGTGCATGTCTTCTTATTGGATACAAAAATAATCCACTTTAATTGAGGACATACGTTTTATGCACATTTTTATAATTTTTGAGCATCCAACATTTTTATGCTATATCCAAAAATTTGCATGAGAAAAAAATGGATGGAAACACAGGTAATGTAGACTATCACAGAATGAAAAGAGGAAGGAATAATATCACTCATCACTCTATATCTCCCAATAATATCTCTTTCGAAAGATGAATGCTTAGTTTGATGATCAAAGCTCGTTAGTTTTCATTGTGGGGGCAAAACTTGTCCGATTAATCATTTGATACTCTCATTTTAGCATGATTTTTCTAAAAAAATTAGCGCTGTCAAACGATTAATCGCGATTAATCGCATCCAAAATTAAAAGTTTGTGTTTACATAATATATGTGGGTGAACTGTGTATAATTATTTAATATATACAAATACACACACATGCTTGTATATATTTAAGAAATATTTTCATGTATATACTGAACATAGATTTATATATAATTTATATTATATATAAATATAAAAATATTTTATATATAAATAATATTTTTTCCTTATACATGCATGTGTGTGTATTTATATATGCAAAATAATTATACACAGTGCACCCACATATATTATGTAAACACAAACTTTTATTTTGGATGCGATTAATCGCGATTAATCACGGACCTAAAAAAATATGAATGGATAATCAAGTTAACCTAAGTTGCTTCAGTCCAGTAAGTGTTACTAACTAATATTACCCAGCAAAAACACACGTGAACCACGACCTGAAGGTGGACATTTGTACAATTGTACTAATTTAGAGTTTCATATCAGATTTGATAGAATAGGATCCTTGAGGAGATCTTTACTCACGTGTGCAGGGTATGTCGGGACTGTCGGTGGGAGCGCGGTAGAAACCAGGCCGACACACACACGACGAAGAGCCCGTCTCTCCTGTGTGACTGGAGTCAGGACACGCAGAACACGGACCCGGACCAGAACCCATCTTAAAATGACCCGCGGGACACGCTGGACACAGACACAACACTTCTATCATCAGCCACTGTTAGCCTTTACAGGGAAGGGATGTACACACACACACATCAAAACATCGATCATCGATCCTTCTCGTTTGGTTTGCTTTAGTTTGAACAGTTCAGTGTGTTCACTAGTGTTTCCAAAAGAAGTCTTCTGCTCACCAGGACTGATCAAAAACACAGTAATATATTATTACTAGGGCTGTGCAAAAATTAATTGCGATTAATCGCATTCAAAATAAAAGTCTGTCATTACATAATATATTTGTGTGTGCTGTGTATAATTATTTTGTATATATAAATACCTATGCATGCATGTATACATTTAAGAATTATTTGCGCTTAAATTCTGTATATATACATAAATACATAATCTATATTATATAAATATAAATATTTTAAATATGAATAACACATTTTCTTAAATATATACATGCACGTGTGTGTATTTATATATACAAAATAATTATATACAGCACACATAAAATATTTTTATGTAAACACAGACTTTTATTTTGGAGCCCTAATTATTACAATTTAAAATGAATGTTTTCAATGGTAAAAATGTAATTCATTCCTGTGATCAAAGCTGAATATTCAGTCTTCAGTGTCACATGATCCTTCAGAAATCACTCTATGATGATTTGCTGCGAGAGAAACATTTATTAATAATGTTTAAAACAGTTTTAGTTTACAGTTTTTTTCACCTTTTGTAACATTATAAACGTCTTTACTGCCACTTTTAAACAATTTAATCCATCCTTTTTGAAAATTTGATTATTTTTATTTTCATTCTTCTGGCGCCAAACTTTTGAACAGAAGTGTGATTTGGATTTCACACACTTAACACACTGATGTTCACATTGCTGTGCTGGTTTGCTACCAGAATAAACCAGTCTGGACCATCATAAGTCTATTCAGTAAAGCATGCAGAGAAACAACAAGTTTTGAGAGAATAAGCACTGTACTATCATTAAACAAACACACTTTCCCAGCAAATAAACACTCACTCACACACTCTCTGAAGAACTTGCTGTCTTAAGCACAAACCTCATTTGTCCTCATGATGTGTCAACATTAAACAATCATTTAGACAACAAGCCAAACAAGCGCCGGTGTGTATTTCAGTTGACGCTGGTTTATTTAGGATTTAAACCGCTTCTGAATCTCAAAGTCTGCCGTCCGATATGCAAAATGATCATGTTCCTCTGCGTGTGTAGAAACTCCATCACTTGATTTATAGTTTTCCGTCTGATAAAAGCCACACACATTCAGCTCGCATAAAGAAACTCAAGTCTTTTGCTCCAACGTGACAGACACACACATGTATGAATGAGTCTCATGAGACTAACACACCAGCTTCGTTTCATAATCAGTTCTCCACAACCCCTGTATTGATGGAAACACATCTGGATTTGATTAACATCAGTTTCACTCAGACCAAAACATATGGTCTGAATTATCCTCCTAAAGCAGCTTTACACTGGGGTGTGTGTGTGTGTGTGTGTGTTTTGAAACATTTCCATAATGAATGTCTCTGAATATCCTCATCGAATGATAAAGATCTTTCTAACTTTACAGACACTTTTACTGCAGACATCCATATCAGTGTACTAGAGATTAATTATGAATTTTTAAACAAACAAACAAACAAACAAAAACAGGTAGTAAATCAGTTATCAATACATTACCGTTTAAAAGTTTGGGTTTGTATGTAAAAATACTGTAAAAACGGGAATACTGTGTAAATATTATTACAATTATGACTATTTTCTATGTGAATATATTGTAAAATTTTGAATTTTCAGCATCATTACTCCTTCAGTGTCACATGATCCTTCAGAAATCACTCTAATATGATGAACCTAACGGTTAAAATAATTAATTGGTTTGAGTAGGACAAACTTAAATTCAACGAATAACTTTTTCTTTCAAGTTCACAGAACTGATATATTTTAAGTAAACTGAACTGTTTTGAGTTTTATGAAATCATTTATTTTAATTAAGACGAACTTAGGTTTAACTGAAACGGCTGAGATATCTATTTCCCAGCATGCTTTGCCGATGGCACTCGAAAGAGAGTGTAAATGCTAAAATTAAGTGCAATATAAAGTTTTTTTGGTGTAAGATTAACGTTAAGTGTGAGATTTAGTAGTGATTAATGTTTTGTTATGCTAATTTAGAAGAATTTCTGTTAATGTTGGCTTTAGGATAGTTACCATCATGGTGACAAGTGGTGCATTCAGCTTGATTTGAGAGCAAATTATCTCTTTAAATTATTACGCACATATGCTTCTGTGCTTGTAAGTGCTTATAACATACTGTTTCTAATATGTTAGCATTTTAAAGCTAACTAAGTTTATATTATTAAAAGTGATTTGAGTTCTGCCAACTTATTCGGGTTTACAGTGTACTACAGAGATTTAAGTTATAGTAACTAATTAGTACTATTAACTTTATTTACCCAAGTTATCTTAACAATAAGTTATTGAGTTACTTGGAAACAAATCAAACATTTTTTTTATGCTTAAATTGTTTGAGTTAATAAACTTAAATGATTTAAGGCAATCGGTTTCCTCAAACGGTTTGAGTTGAACTAACTCACCAGGTTTTACAGTGTGAGCGTGTGTTATTATCAATGTTGAAAAGCTTCATTTTATGTGGAAACTGTGATTCATTTTTTTTCCCCTCAGGGTAAAGCATTTATTTGAAAGAGAAGTCTTTGGTAACATCATAAATGTCGCTTTTGATCAATTTAACGCGTCCTTACTGAATAAAAGACTAATTTCTCTTTCGAACTTTCGAACAGTAGTGTTTATAACTCGAATACTTTTGACCCGCCATAATTTGTGTTTCATAGACACACGGTGTGATTGGAATCCCATCTAAATTGAAAATGTCTGTTTTTCTCGCACAACTTCAAGGAAAAAAATTACTGAGCAAATTACTTATGTGTTTTTTTTTCATCCTCTGAGAAAACGAATCTTGTCCAGATAGCAATCTCTGTGATTGCGGTATGTTATTGTAACTCTTCTCTTCGTTTATGTTAAACCCTCGCCAGACACTAGAACTAAATCTAATTTTCTTGTTAAACTGCCTGGGGAATCATTTTGTCCAACTCTCTGGGTTACCGCGAGTCCCGCTGGCATTTCATCCGACATACGGTATAAAGACAATTACGTTACCACAGTAAATCTGATCTCAGAAACCACGGACACACGCAGCGTCAGGTGTGATCATTATCCTTATGCATTCCTTCCCTTAATTACATACATAATGATATAATTACTATAGAATAATTTTTTTAAAACCTTCTGTAATGACAGACACTCCCATCTTAGAAACAACCACAAATATTCCATCAAGTATCCTGATTTAACAAACATTTTTGAAATGCAGTCCAGAAAGAAAGGGCATTCAGCTTTTAAATGAGTCTTATATGATAAAGTGAGTATAAAAAAAGTTGAAGGTGACATTTTTATAGTGTAATTACGCAAATCAGTTCCAATTAATATTAATTAGCTAAATGTACTTACTAAAGGGTTATTGGTAGGGTTTGGTTGAGGGTTAATTTCTTGGAATTATGCATAATATACTGTAATTCTAAGTGCACGTAACATGTGCAACTACGCCACTTTAAAAAGTGCTACCTACTGTAAAAGCGGTGGTCACAGATTTATATACTAAACATTGACACTCAAACATTATCAAACACTGATATACTTTGAAGAAGCACTACTGTTACACTACACTGTAAAAAATATGTATGATCAATAAATTATGAAAACTTATTTTTACATAGCTTTATCTAATCAAAATATGTCAAAATAGAAAAGACATTTTCAACATGTTTTACTTTATACAAGAGTCAACTAATTTTATTTAAGTCAGTTTAATGTAATTTAGGTTGAAATGACTTGCATATCCAAGTTGATTGTACTTAATTTGAGGCAGCAACTTCTTTTTTTTCTTACAGTGTACTGTTCAAAGGTTTGGGGTTAAAATATAGTTGGTTTAACTTAAAAAATGAAGTAACCTAGTTGCCTTAAAATTGTTAAGTTCATTAAAATGGAAAAATTGAGTTAATGCAATGAAGGAGATTGATTTAATCATCAGAAACTCAAAATATTATGTTATATGAACCACATAAATTATGTTGATTTGACAAAAGAAAAAATGTTGTGAAAATATTCATGATTTTTTTTACAGTGTGTATATATGGGTGATTCTTTAATTGGAGATACATTTGAAGTCCGAAGCCATTTATTTTTAACAGCATTACCAAAATTTTACTCCAAAAACACATTTTAATTTTTTAATATTCTTTTTAAGAGTTAAAAAATGGTAGAGTGTAAAACTAGAAAATATTTTATTTTAAAAGCTATTTCATGATGCTGAAAGTCATGATATCATACTGTCCTTAGTGGGTGGTCCTTTTTTCAAACAAGGGTAAAATATGCATTAAACATGTTTTAAATTACAAATTTCAGGTACAGGTTTTAATAATTTTGTTTATAAATTATTATTGGTGACAGTTTCCAAATTCTGCTGAATTAATTTGTTTAAAAGTAACTTTTATTATTGGAAAAATACCAGTCCATAAATCCAGTGTCAATTCTGTTACTACATGTTATTGTCTCTTTAAATTATGCTTATCTGTCACATCAGTATCCTAAGCAATGCAAGATGATGTCACTTCCCTTTTGGTATTAAACTCTAAAGAACTAGGAGGTATGTGTTTTGTTCTCTCTGAAGCCTTGTAATCTTACCGGCACTTGCACCAAGAGTTCTTATATAACATGTCAAAACTGTTTCAACAATCTCATAGGGAAAGCAAAGTTCAAAGATATTAACAAAAGGAGGTATTAAAAGTTTTTAGAATCATCTTTAGTGTCAGGCCATGTGCTCTTAGCCTTTATGCTAGCATGTGGTGTTATTAGTAAAAAAATGCTAAAAATTTCAACTCTGTTACTGTCAATTACTGTCAATTCT